TTGTAGCATTTACAAAACTGTCATACTCACACAGTAAACAAACAGGGTGGGTGGGGAAGAAATATTCTTTTCTTCTAATCTTGTCAAAATCTAGAAATAATTGGCATTTGTTCTTTGTTTTGTTGGTGTTCATTATAAATAAACCAGCTACAGCAGACTGTCAAGTGCAGCCCAGAAAAATGGAGCAGGAAGATACCCTTGCTTTTCTGGATAGTCCTATCACTAAAGCACAGGATAGACCATCAGTTCTTCAGGGTTTTAGGTCTGGTTGTTAATTACATGTGGACACTACTGGAAACAAAAACACTGCTAGTTTCATGTGCTCTATATGTTGGCTTGGGCATGATACTTTCGAGGACACCAGCCCTTCTGTTTAAAAATGTCTTACCCGTTATTAGGGCCCTACCAAATTTACCCTCCATTTTGGTCAATTTCACAGTCATAGGATTTTTAAATCGTAAATTTCATGATTTCCGCTATTTAATTCTGAAATTTCACAGTGTTGTAATTGTAGGGGTCCTGACCCAAAAAGGAGTGTGTGTGTGTGGGGGGGAGGTCACAAGGTTATTGTAGGGAGGGTTGTGCCACCCTTACTTCTGCACTGCTGCTGGTGGGGCGCTGCCTTCAGAGCTGGGCGCCCGGCCAACAGCCACCACTCTCCGGCCACTGAAGGCAGCGCTGCCACTTGCAGCAGTGCAGAAGCAAGGGTGGCAATACCACAACCTCCCTAAAATAACTTTGCAACCCCCCCTGCAGCTCCCTTTTGGGTCAGGAACCCCAGTTTGAGAAATGCTGGTCTACTCCATGAAATCTGTATAGTATAGGGTAAAGGCACATAAAAGACCAGATTTCACGGTCTGTGACTCGTTTTTCATGTCCATGAATTTGGTAGGGGCCTACCCATTATTGTTTCAAGTAACATTTAACATGTCCAGAATTGAAAGAGTCTAGAAGAAACAATGCTTTTCCTCTTGTTTTCTAGTGTGTTTACTTTGTGCATTTGGCAGCTTTTTGTGTACAGTTTTCTTTGTGTGGATCTTTCATACATCAGCATGGAAGATTTTTTTTTTAAGGTTGGAATATGTGACTATAAAATGACAATTTTCAGGGAGACTCAGGCAAGTGGAGGAATTGTAACTGCTTTCACAATTTTCCCCCCCTTCAGATGAAAGCATTTCAAGTTGATGTCCAAACTGGGTGAAATTGACGCAGTCTGAGTTTCATTTCAGCCCATAGGGCTCTGGACAGCATCTTACAGAGGATGCTGCAATTAGCAGTGGAGATAAAGGAGAATGCTCTCTTGTCTTCCAGGAGCCAGGGGAAAATGGGAAAAGGCTTCACTCTTCAGTTTTATTAGTTAATTATTAGCCAGAGGCTGATACCAAAGATGGAACCTCCTGAGCGTATGAGCACTTGGAAAGAAGCTCCGCATGCTCTCCAGCTGCTGGAATGGGGTTGGTGTCCTAACACCTCTTGTTGGGTGTGGTACAAGCCTCATCTTTTTGTATTAGCTCCTTCCTAGACAATTGGTGTCTTATAAACATTTCAAGTGCTGTATAACACTTGTAAAATACTTGGAAATTCTTGGCTGGATTGAAGCTGTCTATTTACAAGATATTAATTATTACTGTCATCCTTAATTTTGGGAACAAACTCAACAAGCCTTGGCCATTCCCTGATGAGCCCCTTAATAAATTGCACAAGGCACAATTGGGACCCTTGCTAAGGAACAGATATTCATTTGATGAAGTCACTCACCCTTTTGTTAATATCTGCAGTCTCATAACATTAATCATTATGAATTATAGCTTTCTGGTACTAACTTCCAATTTCTGCCCTGCCTAACAAAAATTCCCAATTTCAGTTTCCAAAATTGTCCTCCGTGTGGTTTGTTCTTGGTTGAACTTGCAGTTAAGTTGTGTTCAGTGCTGTTTCAACTGCAGTTGTTGCATAAATCGTTTATTAACAGTGGGTAACTCTTGTTAGTGTAGACAAGGTTTTTGTGTCCCTCCACTGCAGACTGCTTTCTGGCTCTTTTTTGTGGCTATCAGACAAGACACATTTACCTTAACATAGATTTTGAAAATGTTCTAATACTTCGTACAATGCTTATGTAAAAAGCAGTTCAAGAAATAAAAGAAACCTCCCACTGCTATGGTTTCCTCTTGGCCTGAGGAGAGTTGGGTTGATGGTTTAATTGGCATGTTTATTTCCTATGAACTATGTCAATTAGAAGGATTTTACTGGGCCTTAGGTAATCATAGGCTATGGAATACTTGATAACATCTCAAGCTCAGTGCTTTGAAATTCACTTAACAAATCCTAGAGATGTTCAGGAATTAAAATTTCCTCTGCAGTTTGTCAATATTGTATGTTTTGTTTGATGCAACTGGAAATGTCCCTTCTCGCCATGGTTTTGAGTTATTTGGGAGATGGTGCATCACCATTTGGTAACAAAAATGTTCTTGTATTGGAATGGTGGCTGGTGACTGTTAGGTCATGTTCTTTGGTTGTTCCACAGTCAGTTTGAAGGTACTGGTTACCTTATATCCATCATTTCAGCTCAGTTTGGAATGTCACCTGTGGTTGGGCGTCCTCTGGAATAACTCAACACTACATCCCAGCTGGTCCCACAAAGGGGTTCTTTAGTCTGCTTTATTGCGTGTGGGCGAGAAGACTAGATGAAAATTGATGTTTTTCTTGAGTCTGTAAGATTCTCTGAGCTGTGGGAGTTTAACACAAATTTGGTCTAGTGTTCAAAGCGGTCCTTTTGTCACATTTCTGAGAACAATATGGTTTTCTAGATAAAGATCTAGAAATAGGTAAAGATTTGGTGAAACTGCAGTGGTCACAAGTATCATTTAAAAATTGAAGGGACACCATGACATTTATTTCTGAACTACATAGGCTACAGACTTGCTGTCATCAGATGTTTCTTTCTTCCATCCCTCCTTTACTGAGGGTCAGTGGTTGGTTAAATAGGTTTATGGTGTGAAAGTGGTGGGCCTGCTCCTTAAAATTAATTCTTCCAGAGAAGTCTGCAATTGATGATTGCCTCAGTTTTCTTTAGCCAACGGCTAGGTAGTCAGTATATTTAGTGTCTCTCTCCACAGCTGTAAAAGATGGATTATTTGTGCAAAAAAAGTGTTGATGGTATGCGCTCTGATTCTGGCTTGTGACTTTCCAGTGAAAGTTAAATATGTTCTTGCCTGCCCGCACTCCTCCCCCCCCCCCCTTTTAAATACACTGATGATCATATTGCTGCTTTTCTGTCTGATCTATTTAAAAATCCAGCAAATGAATTCTTCTCTCCCCAGGAGCATGTTTACTTAGGAATTAGCATTTCAACATTTTGGTGTGAAGTTGAATTCAGGATTCTGTTATAATTAGAGAAATTACACTGTTACTTAATAGCATCCTCATCTAAAAGAGAGTTCATTTTCTGCTTGCAACCCTTGCTGTGATTCCAACATGATGCTTGTCACTCTTCCTGCATGTGTACTAGTTTCTTTTCAAAGATAAAACTGGATGTTTCTTGTGTCTGTTTTTCCATTTAGCTGTTGGCCACTGTTTAAATTAGATTTTCAGGTTTTATCAGAAATCCATTTTCAACCTGCAGTATTAAACTCAGCATATCCTCAGCCTGCAGAGATATTGGACATTGGAAACAGAGGCTATCTCTGTTATGTAATACTCCAGTTGGTGGTGCTATATGATTCTAGTTTTCTCTGTTACTGCTTCCCAGCAGTAGATTAGTAGAACAATGCAGACCAAACATGCCTTTCTTACCTGGACATGTGAGATTCACTCAGGGTGGTAACATTAGGAGGTTTCTTCTGTTCTGTAAATAGCAAGGAATGGAAGTCTGTGTAAATCTACACAGTACAATGTATTTGAACATAATAACTTTTGATGCACTCTTTGTTTTGCTGTGCCTTTTTTAATATCTGGGAAATAGCAGCACCTATTTATTGTTGATTGATTATTGATTCTGTGTGGCTAAGGTAGTTTAGGATAGAACATATGCGCCTTTTTAAAACAGAACTTCTGATCAGTTTACTTGCTAAGACTTAATAGAAACTTGTATCAAAATAATATAGCTCACTGTTAAATTAAAATAAAGCATATGGTCTGTCAAAATTACTTATTCATTCAATAACCATGCAACTGTTAAGATCCTTTGGTGTAACAAGAGCATTACAATTTAAATGTCTTTTCAAAGGATTTGTATAGAGTCGTTCTGATTGCAAAGACTAGCCGTGTTTGATACAGTATCTTCTTTTAAGTCTCATCTTTCTGCTTGCTGTACTCTTCCATCTGTGAAATTACCAAGGCCCTTGCAAAACCTAAGCAATTTTGTTATGTGTGTGTGTAGCGTGCTGTATATGGTTGTTTATGTTGCTTTCAAACATATTGTTTGGAATTTTCTAGTTCTGCCTATTGACTGTGCTGTTCTTCCCTCTTAACAGTGACTGTGTTCTTAAGCACTTTGACTCCAAAATTCTACGTTGCACTTACAGGGACTTCATCTCTTATATCTGGACTGATATTTGTAAGTAGATTCCTCTTCTCACTAGAGCTTTTGCATGTCTCTTGTTAAAGTGAGGATGCAAGAAACCCTCCTGTTCTCTGACCAGTCTCTAGGTGGTGTCCTTATACTGTACAAGAAACTAAGACTCCTCAGTAGTTTCTGATACACAGGACTCTATCCATTGTTACCTGAAGAGGGCATAGGTATGATTCCCACAACAACCTTAACTCTGAATTTCCTGAATCCTGTGCTAATTGAATCTCAACCTTCAATATTGCATATAATTTCCTGTGTTTTAAAGAGGAAAAATTCAGTCCCTTTCCCAATGGATAGTTTGCATCACAAAGCCACTGCCACAACTGGCATTCTCTCATTGGCAGTCTCAGCAGCCAGACCATGAAGACTGACCACCTCTCTCACCGTTGGAAGCAGTCCCTTCAAGTCATGGGTGAGGTACTGGTGGTGTGCGCAGAGAAGCTTGCACTGCTGCAACATTGCACATGTTCTTTGGACAAATTGATTGCCTTGGAGGATGAAAGCCGTTCTAGATGTTTCACCAGCACTAAGTTCACTAAAAAGTTACATCTAAAGAGAGACTGGTGGGGGAGAGGGTTTGGGCTATAAAAGAAATTATTCTTGCTGAACTCTGATAGGTCTTTAGCCATCTGAGATTTCAGGCTCTGATCCTGCAGTCAGATCGGTGTGGGCAGATCTGGTTGCAGGATAAGGGCCTTTTGGAACATTCTTTCACTGTCAGATATCACACACAGTTACCAAACTATGCTGAAGCTGTGTTTAACAGACATTTTGTGTGGCTAAAGTTAAAAGAAAAATCTTTTTTTATGTGAAGAAAGCAATTTGTTTACCATAGCTGCAGGAAAAATGTGGATTGTGAGTACTGAATGGGGGATTTGGGAAGAGCTGTTTAAGAAGGAAATGGATGATGATGTTTGCCCTAGTCATTTTACATAGTTAAGATACAGAAAAATCCCCGCTTTAAAGAAAAAAGTGGATTTTTTGTTGACATTTAAAATGGATGAGTTATTGCAACATTTCACAATAGGAATGCCGTGTATTTGAATGTGACTTATCTCTTCATGCTGATGGAAATACCCAGTTGAATTGGTCTAGGGTGGTCCTCTACTGTAACTCCTGGAGATCATGATATATAAATGCCTCATAAGGCCTACAGGAGGAAAGAAGAAAAAAAAAAACACTCTTGAGCTTAAACATCTCATAAATGAACTAAATGACTTCCCTCCCTGGACTGTCACATGCTATCAACAAAGCATATTGCAGGTGATACAAAATGAGCAAAAAAGGTGAATTTGGAAGAATGAAACCCAAAGCCAGGCCCAGTCATGTAGTCCTTACTTCCAGGGGAAAGTCCCCTTGACTATGTGCTAAAGTAAGGGCTGCAGGATCCAGACAGCTTATTTGTTAAAATTGCTTCAGAAGTTAGCATACTTTTGTGGATGTTAATCCATTATTTGGCTAAAATCTGATAAATTTCTTAATGTTTTTTCTTCCCACATTGTGTGGGGAGACCCATGTCTCTCTGGTTTAGTGGAAGGAGATACAAAAATTAACAATATTTTATATAGATAAATAGTGTCTGTAATCAGTTGCAAAGGGATGTCCACATGGCTCACATTTTTGTTTCATGTCTGTTGTGAATACTGGTAAGTTGTTGTCTAGTGAAACATTTGGGTGCAATTTTTCTCTTGTTCCCACTGCAGATATTCGAATGGTGGTACTTCCAAAAATATGGCACCTCTTTCATTGAGCAGGTGTCTGTGAGCCATTTGAGGCCACTCATTGGAGGAGTAGAGAATAGTCCTTCGGTGCCAGGTTTTTCAGCCAACAACGGAGAAAACGAGACAAACAGGCAGAGTTTGTCAGGTAATTGCTTCTAACTTTTGGCTTTGCAGAGACATGTTAAGTGTCTCCCCTAAACCCAGAAAGATTTGTTCAAACTAGTTGGATTTCTGTCTTAGAACGGTCTTGGCGTCCCGTTAGGGCCTATAGTAACAATCAGAGAAAGATGGTCTCTCATTTGGGACCATCAGCACGAGAGAGTTGCAGAAGTAAAGCGAAATGATGATGATAATCAGTGAAGTAAAATCCGGAATTGCTTTGTGAATATCGTTGCATTTGTTAGAACTGCTGAAAGAAAGAACCTATGTGTATTGCCTAGTATGTTACATAATTATTAGAAATAAGAGTTTAAGTCAAGAGATTAATACACAGCTTGAATGGAAAAAATAGACTGAAACACACCACTGAATTGTCCCGGTAATACCAGGCTTTTTGCAGACACCAAAATTTTACAGTTTGCAGGCTCCAAAATTATACAGTTTGAGCATTGCTCTGGTTATTCTCGTGCAATGTTTAACCCTTCTTCCAAGTGCTTTTGTATGACAGGAATGCTGGAAAACTCTGGCTTTGCACAAGTCATGTCCAGCAGGAAGTGATCAGGGAATGAATTGAAGTTATGTGGATTTTACAGAAAGGACTGTAGCTGTGTAAAGACAAGGGATTAGTTTTGGAACTTTATTCAAACTTGAAGTAATGCTCTTTCATTTTGCAGAGTGCAAAGTATGGAGAAACCCTCTTAATCTTTTCAGAGGAGCAGAATATAGCAGGTATTAATTTCATTTTATTTTCAACGTAACAAGCAGCTGTGGAAATGAACTTAGAGCCTGCACACACCTTTTAACTTGTTGCCAGAGCTCTCATCCTTGCACTTCTTGGAAATAATGGTGAGATCCAAAGAGCATCATGGGTAATTGTTGGGATTTATACCAGTCCTACCCTTAAAAAATATCTGTCCAGAGCTCTAGGTGCCTTCATCCCATATTAGAAATACAAATATTCGTGCAAACAAAGTAAACTCTGTAGCTTCCCCAAAGCAAAGAAACAGCCGTTCCAGTGCTCATCACAACCCTCTTTCTCCAAAATTCTAAAATATCTGCAAATTCGAAAAGATCTGAGCTTTGCAGCATGCCCTGAAAGCTGACAGATTTGGGCTATTTCATTCCAAAGCTTGAGGAATGAGTTCCGAAGTAGAGTCTGTCATATAGTACGCCCTAGTGGAACCACACTCCCCTTTATAGAGTGGTGGTTTCAGCTCGAGCATTGTCGTTGTCCATAACTGTGACCCTGTTGCAAAGGCATAAAAGCATTTCTCAAACAGGCAGTTGCCAAGCCATTTTGGCTTTTAGGTTCAAAAATCATGCATTGCCTTTCACCAGGAAGCCCTCTGGCAACCTGTACAGAACATTGGTGTTGCAATCTTATGATTAGAAAATCCACATAACAAATGACCCTTCAGTGCTAACCTCAGTTTCTGAAGACATCAGACATCCCACTGTACCAGCTGTTACAACACATGTTTGGAGACTTTTCTTGTCTTTTGCTAAAGGTACACGTGGGTGACTGGGAAGGAACCGCTTACATACTACGACATGAATTTGTCTGCTCAGGATCATCAGACCTTTTTCACGTGTGACACAGACTTTCTTCGGCCTTCAGATACAGGTACTAGCTGTTTCTGCATGAAAACAAGGGTGTATGTGTGAAAGATGGAACAGTTGGAATATCTAAAGTATATTGGAAATATTCACCCTAAGGTGATCCCAACTACTGAGTGGAAACTTATAAAGTAATAACTGCATAATTCTGCAACGTAGGGAGTACAAAATATATGTTTAGTGATAGATACACTTCTGAGTTCTGTAGGGAGTGCAGTCTAGAGGTTTAAAGCGATTTCTAAACTCTGCCATTGACTCACTTTGTAACTCTGAGCAAGCTACTTCCCGTCTTGTGGCTCAGTTCACCCATCTGTAAATTGGGAATAATGCTAATGTAACTTACAGGAGTATGATGAGGCTTCATGTTTGCCTAAACACTCAGATCCTTGGATGAAAGACACACTAAACACAGTGTGTTGCGTATATGAAATAGTAAATTGTGAAAATGTTCCTGCTTTTGCAAAAGGTGCTTTAGACTCTACGACATGCTTAGTATCATAGTTTGGTCTCCTGAAAAATGGTCCCCTCAGCAGTATTCTGCCCTCAGTACTGTGGTTGGTCATTAGTTCAATACTGACTCAGAAAGAAGAGCGCCAACCCTGCTTCCTGCATCACCTAGATCAGTGGTTCTCAAACTTTTTTTCACAGACTACTTGAAAATTGCTGAGGGTCTCAGTGGACCACTTAATGATCTTTCCAAATGTTGTTTGTACCATTAGCTAACTATTGTAAAGCACTTTGGATAAAAGCACTATATTAAAAAACCTTAATAATAATTAACATTTTTTTGTTCTACAAATAAAAGCACACAACTCATATTTTAATATCAGTAACCTTACCTTTCTAATGCAATTGATGTGCCCTCTCTCCCCTGCCATGGCAGCACCCGAGCTGGGGCTGGGAAGTAGGGAGGTCTCTTCCCCGCCACAGCAGCCACAGAGCTGAGGCTGGGAAGGAAGGCTGTCTCTCCCCAGCAGCCGCAGCCCTGGAGCTGGGGAAAGTCACCTCTTTCTCTGGCCGCCACAGCCCTGCACATCCCAAATTCTCACTCCCCACCCCCTCTTCTCACTCCACTGCCCCCTCCCACCTACCCCCTATTCCCCCCAAGGCCACCACCTCACCTTACATTTGCATCTTCTCCAGGGTCCTGGCAGGCGTGGCTCCACTAATTAGGTGGGTGGCCCTTCATTCTCTCTTCTTCATTCTGCCCAGGCGTGCACCTTAGCAGGAACTATCCGTGAACCACCTGACTGGAGCTCACGGACCACTGTTTGAGAACCTCTGACCTAGATATTCCTTGGAGTTCTCCCATTGAACAGGCTGTGGCCAACCCTGCTTAGCTTGAGATCTGATGAGTTTTCAGCTCAAGATGGTTTGGCATCCAGAATACAGGACTAAACCTCTTGCCATATAATAGATCTATGGTTGCAACTTTGTTGGTATTTTAGTATAGATTACAGAATTACATTTGTTAAGGGATATGGTGAGAGACTCTTGTTTTTGTTTACTCCGTTGTTTGTAATACATTTCAGAAGTTTGAAAATAACATCTTTCCTTGTTTGTCTTCAATCAGTTTCTTATTAAACTAGCCCACAGGACTTTCCCTTTGATTACATTTACATCTTCATGGAGGTAAACAGTGATGCACAGTTTGGTGAAAAGGGAGATCTTGTGCTGTCTCTGCTCGCTGTGAGGTTCGCTGTTCATATAGAAAACCAGATATTTTAGGATGATGCATAAACTAGCTGTTACAGGGTTGTTGTTTTTTCTAATTATATATTTTTAAAACCTGGACTGTGTTCTCCACTAGTTTAATGTCTTTAAAGAAGTTCACAGTTGGGGCCATAACTAATGAACAGGCATGTCTCTTTAAGTGTGTTGTAATGTTACAACATTTTTGTACAGTTAGTATGCCCTACCTGGCTATTGTCAGATGAGGTGCTAACTCTTATCAATTTGTCAAGTTCAGGAAGTGTTAGCTGTCAGCTAGCTGGTGACATGTTTGATATGAGGAATGTATTTTTGTTGCACAAATGGAGTATATTGTCTCGTCTTTTAAGCCAAGACTAATATTTTGTTTCCAAAGGAAAACTCAAATATTTTCCACATTATTCTTACTGGACAGTTGCAGTTTTTGTTCCAAAAGAAACATGTATAGATTCTCCAGTTTTTCTTATCAAACTTGAGTGAGGCCAGATATTCCGTTCCATGAACCAACAGTTTTGGAGTCTTTTCAGAAATGTTGTTGGGTGTGAAGACTCTAATTCTGCCTAGGAAATGGTAGTGGTAAGAACATTGCCCTTCTTTTGGTTAAAGTGGGCTCTTAAATTTGGGTTCCATTTTTTATAATGGGGGCTGATATTGTCCAGAGATGTGCTGTGTTGAATTGGTTCTCTTCCCACTCCTCCTCTTGCTGTAATTCTTTTGCAGAAAATTATAATTCAGACAAACCTCCTAGATTCAAACATAGTTTAGATAAAGAGCATGTTCTGATCTATGTGTATTTTTAGCTGCTTCGTAGCACCTTTCAACAAGATGATAAACAGTAACAGTATATTTTGAATCGGCTGTAACATGTTATGCCACTCGAATTTGCTCTTGCTTTCAAACCCCAACTTTAAAAGGAATTGCTTAACCATTTATAATCTATTAAATAACAGCTTTAACACAACAAAACTGCACCAGAACAACAATAATTTGTTTTATCATGTCTTTCCTTAAAATAAAAATATTGTCAATAAAAAACAAAAATTAGGATTTCATGCAGGTCTGTGCCAGGGCCAGAGTCAATGCACGCAAAAAACAGTGTGCACCAATCGAGGAATTGTACACCAGTCTATATGTGCGCAGGAACTATGTGATTTGCATATCAAATGAGGTTTTAAATGAACAGTGAATAATCTCCTTGCAGATATTCCCATTTTAAGTGGAATTTGTAATCTAATCAGATGTGTCACAAGTGTCATCAGTTGGTGGTGGAAGAAACTTTCCTCAGAATTTAAATCTCCTTTTGCTGCGTGGGTCTGAGGGAAGAATAGAGTCAAGCTCAGAGTACAAATGATTGTTGGTCAAGTGAAACTGATGTATAAATTACCTAAGTGTTACTTCTTAAAAAGCTCTAGTTTTTGTGGATGGTTAACTATATATTTCATACATAAGCATTTCTATTCATGATCTGTTTTAAAACATTTTTCCCACAGTTATGCAGAAGGCATGGCGAGAGAGAAACCCTCAAGCCCGAATCAAAGCAGCATATCAAGCTTTAGAATTAAATAATGAGTAAGTTTGAAATTAACATAAACATAAATTTAAGTTCTGGCATAAAAAACAAAGTGCTTTACCCAGGACACAGTGTCACTTTTTGTTTGAATTTAGAATTAGCAAGAAGGAATGTCTTCAAATAGTGTGAAGGTTTTCCTGTATGCATCAATTAGAAATAAACATGTGGCTATCAGAGTACATTGCATCACTTAGCTCTGGTTTGATTAAAAGATAGCTTTTGGCCTACCTATCTTTTAATTTTAAAAAGAGAATGTTAGTTTGATTTGTGCCATTTCTGTCTGTGGGTCAGTAGAAATAACGTACAGAAGGAGAAAAACCTTATTTTGAGGTGAAACAAAGTAAATCTCCATATGGAGTCTTGTTATTGCAATGTCATTACTGACCCCCAATAATATTGTATGCAGTGTTGTTGTTGTAATCAGACTTATAGATTTCATGGCCACTAGGGACCATTTTCATCATTGTCACACTATCTTTTCATTGTTTTTGAGAAAATAATTTTTCTTGCTTCAACCAACTTATTTTTCCATTTGGAACATTTGCCTTAAGTTCTTAAAACTGTAAAGCAGGGGTCGGCAACCTTTCAGAAGTGCTGTGCTGAGTCTTCATTTATTCACTCTAATTTAAGGTTTCACGTGCCAGTAATACATTTTAATGTTTTTAGAAGGTCTCTTTCTAGAAGTCTATAATATATAACTAAACTATTGTCGTATGTAAAATTAATAAGGTTTCAAAATGTTTAAGAAGCTTCATTTAAAATTAAATTAAAATGCAGAGCCCCTCAGACCGGTGGCCAGGACCCGGGCAGTGTGAGTGCCACTGAAAATCAGCTCGCGTGCCGCCTTCGTCACCTGTGCCATAGGTTGCCTACCCCTGCTGTAAAGGCTTCTGTTTTCCTAGCACTTGTCACTTGACTGTAGTCCAGTGAATACTCTGCTAGGTACCATATATTTCACAGGGTGTTTGATAAGGATTCTTGCATGCTTAATTTTTATTAATTAGTAATGGGTTTTCATAAACTTTCAAGTACTACGTACAGGACAAAACCCATAGATACCTTTGATGCCATTACTTTCTTGTGCAAAAAATCCTTACAACTGACTTCCATCTGAGTAGTCTGTGGCTTTCTTTTTTTTGTTTCCATTACAGTTGTGCCACTGCCTATGTTCTCCTAGCTGAGGAAGAAGCAACAACTATTATAGATGCTGAGAAGTATTTTAAGCAGGCACTAAAAGCAGGCGAAACAGTTTACAGAAAATCTCAGCACTGCCATCCCCAAAACTCCCAACATGAAGCGCAGCTTAGTAAGCACCTTTGCACTGAATAGTTACAGATTTTTCTGTTTGAGCACAAAGGCAAAATGAAAGAAATATGATTGTTTTTAGGGTAGCAGTTGAAACACCAAACCCTGATAAGGAGCATCATTGTTAGTACTTATTCTGTAATTCCACTTTAGCATAATATGCTGTATGAGTTTTATATGGTCTGCATATGAGTAAATCTATAAAAAAGCAGATAGAGCTTGTAGTCATCACAGTAGCATATGTCACTCTGCCTTGTTGGGCCTGTGCATATACGTGGCAGTGTATCTTAATGTCTTGATATGATACTCTGGTGGTGGGGAATAATAGAAGGATTAGTAAGCGTTAATGGTGCAGTTCACCATTGGTCACTGATTTTATCCCACCCAACAGATGGAAAGAAACTCAAAAGTTCTTGCCATATGATGACTGGGAACCTAGCTGAAATGAATTGCTGGGTTTGGTCTTTTTCTTGGTGGACCACTGCCAGAATTTTGTCTGGGAAGCATAGGTGATTATTCCATACTCTTACTTCTCTCTGCTGCTGGTTAGGGAAAGGGTGTTGTGCATTCTTTCTTGGGGAATAATGTCATCTCATGCCATTTTAGGCACTCTATTAGAGAGATGTCCACAACACATCCCGCAATCCTTTTTTATTACTCCCTTTCTACAACTAAGCATATCTTAACATGAATCTTAACAAAATAAAGATTGAAAGTGAGTTTTTAGAATGGAGATTAATTGTTTTATATTTTTACTCAGGAAGAGACACCAATGTATTGGTTTACGTGAAAAGGAGACTAGCCATGTGTGCAAGAAAACTTGGAAGAATAAAAGAAGCAGTAAAAATTATGAGAGATGTAAGTCATTTTAAATAAAATGTAAACAACTTGTATAATTTGGACAATAGAGTTATTAGCTTAAAACCACAGTGGAGGTGATGGAACAATTAGGTTGTGACTGAGTTTCATAGTGAGATACGAATGTTTTCAACAAAATTTTAGTTTTTGATATCTGTCAAGTATATATGTACATAATATGGCTAATGTGTTTAGAGTTTTACCTTCCATTTCTCCTTATGTTTGGCTTGATGATTAACTTGTTAAAGTAGCTATACTCTATGCTTCGTACAATGGCACTCAGCGGCGGCTCCAAGCACGTGCCTGGGGCAGCAAGCCACGGGGGGCACCCTGCCGGTCCCTGCGAGGGCGGCAGTCAGGCAGCCTTCGGCGGCATGCCTGTGGGAGGTCCGCTGGTCCCGTGGATTCGGCGGCAATTCGGTGGCGGGTACGCCGAAGCCGCGGGACTGGTGGACCTCCCACAGGCAAGCCGCTGAAGGCTGCCTGCCTTCCGTGCTTGGGGCAGCAAAAAAGCTAGAGCTGTCCCTGATGGCACTTTATTTCTTTCACTTGTCCAAGGTGGATGCGACATTATTTTTACACAGGCATGTATTATGATCAAACCATCCACTTTGTGCAGCTAGCCAAGTCATGGGAGCACATTGTGTGAACACCTGGGAAACAAGTGTACTGAGCAGATAAATGTAGAGAAAATTGTGGTGGTCTCTTTGGTGGTGGGGAGCAGAGAGAGATGGGAAGAAGTAAAGGATGAAAAGGAACATCAGCCATTAAGGTCTTGAAACCATTGCATTGAATATTTATGTACTCTATTCTATCTGAATGCCTTGCTGAATTTATTGAACAATGCGATTAGATTTATCATCTGGTTTGGTTTAGCAGCTCAGAGCTGATAATTTATTAAGGATGTAAAACAGTGACCTAAACAACACTGGAAAATGAATACAATTCTGATATTGTATTTTGGAGCAATTTATGGATACTTGCTTTGGTTAACAGATTGAATATAAGTAAGTGTGTCTATTGCATTGGCAGGAAGAATTACAAGGCCTAAGATGGGTTATTTATCAACTTTTTTTTCTGGATTTCCACAGAAAAACTGGTTGAGGGCTTGATTTCTTTGGGCTTTTGTGACCTTGCATAATTTGAAGCATGAATACCAGACACATCTTATTTGGCTAAATTAGATTATTGTTGGTCTTATATTTTGGGTTATTGTGCCCAAACTACCATTTTAATAAATAAAGGCAAAGGGCTTTCTGTGTTTTCAAATCCCGCTTATGGTAAGTGTGAGTAAAATGGAGTTATTTCTCTTTTCTGATGTGCAGTTAATGAAAGAGTTTCCACTTCTTAGTATGTTGAATATTCACGAAAACCTTCTGGAGGCGCTGCTGGAATTACAGGCGTATGCTGATGTCCAGGCAGTTTTAGCGAAGTATGATGGTGAGTGACATTTGTCATGAAGCATAAAAACATTCATGTTTGCCATTCTGTATGTTAACATAGCGCATGTGACAGACATTCTTCAAACCTCAGCTTTAATCCGTGAACAAATATAACTGCTCTGTGTAGTGGGGGCAAAATGAGCTCCAGGAGCACTCTTTTTGTACCTCTCCTAGTTCCTTCATTGCTAATGGATTTTTTTCAGCCCTTCACAGTCAATGCGCTGCCCCCCTCACCAGAGTAGTCAATGCGAGTGAGCAGAAAAGCGGCAGTCTTCCCTACTGCCTGGCCTGCGTCTTTCATACCACTCTTGGATCCTGTTTGCCAGAAAGATCAGGACTCAAGCATTTGATCCCTTATGTTGCAGAGTTACTAGTCCTCCAGGCTGACCTGCTTCCAGTGTGCCATATGCTTAGATATTCTTCTGTGGAAGAGCCTAGCTATTTTGTGTGTGTCCCTAGAGTTATAACACATAAGTGTTTCCCAAAGCAATTTTTCTTCTGGTCGGGGACCAGAATGTTACACCCAAGTCACTGTCAGAACTGTCCCTTAAGTCAACTTCAGAGAGGAGGCCTATAGAAGCAATGTTTCTGTCAATCTTCCTTGCATCCAGGAGTCAGTGGTTTCCATAATGCCTCTATTCACTATTGCTTCAGGGAATAAGTGGCATGAGATTCTTGCCAAAATCTAATACCCAAGTGTGTGGCCAGTGTGCTGATATTACTCAACCCATGCTGTGCTGTGCGGGTATTTTTCATTAACACGGTAAAAAACATTTATGTGGTCATGAATTTTTTTCATGTTGACTTCAGAAAGTTTGACACTTATTTAATTTAGGGGGCACTGATTCCTTCTAAACATCTGGAACAGTTAGGATGAGCTTCAGAGGGCTGTTCAGAGAAACTTGCAAGAAATCCTTCCCATATGGTACTTGCCAGATGCTTGGCTGGCTTGTTACATGATGGACAAGCCTGAGAGAGGTTTTAAAAAACAGGAGGCGTTCAACTGGTACGCATAGACTAGTATTCAGGAATTTATTTAGAAACAGAATCTTGTATCTATTTTTACAATAACCTTGTACTGTAGAATTTTAACTCTCCTAAAGACAGTCAGGTCAAATTTGGAACCAAATTTAAGCTTTGTATAAATTTAGGTTTTACAGAAACTAAAACCAATAGATATTTTTCCATAGAACTAAAAATAATTAAATGGTAAGATATTTTAGTTAAATTCCCCTTTAGTGTTTGTAGTTCAATGTTGAAAGGTGCTAATGTATGAGAACTTGAAAATGAAATTTACTAGAAACTGACTAGTATATTTTTAAGTTAAGAAATGCAAAAAGTAAGTTGAAGGTTAAAAATTATTTATTTTAATACTGAGAGTGGTGTTTAACACAGCTGAAGGCGCTTTCTAAAAGTGTTTAACCCGATAATGTACTCTGTATAAATTCAGTTTTACAGCATCATATTTGATAACTATGCTCAGAAATGAGTGGTGAGGAACAATTCCTGACCCTGCAACTGGGACTGTAAAACCAGGGGATTTTTCTGAAAGAGGATTTTGGGGACTGGTGCAAGGCAGTTAAGGAATTGAAAGTTTCTAGTCATAACTGAAATGTTCCAGATGTTGAATTTACTGTATGGGCCATCCCAAATGCAAATCATTCAGCTCAGAGGAGACAGATTTAAAATGTTTGTCTTACTTTAGAATCGTAAAGTTAACTATTTATTGTACCGTAGATATCAGTCTTCCAAAATCAGCAGCAATATGTTACACAGCAGCACTGTTGAAGGCCAGAGCTGTTTCAGACAGGTAAGTGAACACAGAAACTACTGAAATCAGTGTATTATGCTAATCTTGGATTCTGGTGTAAAAAAATAGATCAATTATTAAAAACAAACAAAACCCTAAATCCCATATATAGCATTCACATCTCTGAAGACAGATTCTTTCTTTATTCATGAGCAAATGTTCAGCTTCTCTCTACTACTATTATTCTCCTGCTTTCTTTAAAGTATAAATTACAGGGGTTGGCAATCTTTCAGAAGTGGTGTGCCGAGTCTTCATTTATTCACTCTAATTTAAGGTTTCACGTGCCAGTAGTACATTTGAATGTTTTTAGATGGTTTCTTTCTACAGGTCTATAATATATAACTAAACTATTGTTGTATGTAAAGTAAACAAGGTTTTTAAAATGTTTAAGAAGCTTTATTTAAAATTAAATTAAAATGTAGAGTCCCCCGGACCTGTGGCCAGGACCTGGGCAGTGTGAGTGCCACTGAAAATCAGCTTGCGTGCCGCCTTCAGCACGCGTGCCGCAGGTTGCCTACCCCTGAATTACACCCTCAACTAGTCCATCCAAATATCTGATATCTTAGCTCTTCTGGATTTTAGATGGTTTGCTCTTCCTGAGCACGTGCTGAGATGGTGGAGGGTGTGTGGGGAAGATGGACGCTTGACCCTACATGGAGATTGTTTGGTGCTCCCCCTTCTCTGGTTGCTTGCTGACTGCATCCTCTGCTAATTTTAGCTTTGCCTCTTAGTGTATGTCATCATAAAATCTTGTAACACTAATTGAATGCTCAGCTTTAAGTCCAGTTTCCATCTGAAAACTCCAGATGGAAAAGTTTCTAGTATCTTAGTCGTCACTTCAACTTCTTGTGTTTGTTATGCTCCAGAGAAAATCCTTCCATAGTGCCACTTGGTTTCCAAAAGCTTAAGATGCCTTTGGCACATGAATAAGGATGGTAGTCAAGATACCTGAGTTAGTTACCTGTGGTGGTTAGCTGCATAAAGAGCAAAGCAGGGCTGAGCCAAAAGGCGTTTTCTGTTTCTCAAGAATCAGTCTTTCCCACAGTTTATGATGAGCTTCGATCTTAAAGTATCATTCTTATTTGGATTTTCGTTAGTAAATTGTTCAGTTCAGGTTTTCCATGCAGGTTCTCTCCAGAAACAGCCTCCAGAAGAGGACTCAGCACAGCAGAAATTAATGCTGTGGAAGCAATTCACAGAGCTGTGGAATTTAACCCTCATGTCCCAAAGGTAAGAACTGACTTTTTTTCTCCTTATGGGATCAGTTTAGCTTACTATCTGAAATATAGTCACCGTTTGCAGTGGTCCTGGAGTCTCGCTACCCCTGTGAAACATGTGACTACTTCTCTGTGGTTGAAGTAGGCTGAGGATAGCTCATGTAGAACCTGAAACTACTTGGAAATCCTGGGTGAATTGTAGCATGGATAGAAATAATAGCATCCACCACTAATGACTGCTATAGTTAAGGTTACAAATCAGCTTTCTTTGTATCTTCTTGTTCTTGCACATTCGTAACTTTTCCAGCCTTTAAACTCCATCTCGCACATAGTCTATAAGAAGGAGGTTGTGCTTTGGGCAGTTCATAAAATGGTTGTAAAATAGAGGCTAAGAACATTTGAAAATACACTACAGCACATGTTCAGTGGAAAACTTAAATTGGCATTTCTAAACATGGATTCAGTAGTCATGTGGCAGCAGCTGTTTGACTGCATGGTGACGTGCCCATACAACTGAGCTGATTTAAACATGCAAAGTGTGTTTAAAAGTAATTGTCACTCTCCTGCTGCTGCTATCATCCTGAGAACCTGTGGCCTAAAGGAATTAGCATAGGGCTGGAATGCTTGAGTTCTCAGGACAAATTTTTTGGTGGCCTCGGAGTGCGGCCACCAACTCTTGCTGGTGGCCGCTCTCACACTTTTTCCTAAAATACTAAATTAGCATTAGGAAAACCAAATAAATATGCACATATACACATCCAAATCATTGTAATTTATGTATTGCTAGCTAGTAAGTCAGTTGTGAAAAGTGATATTAACAAACATACAAGTATCACTTTTCACAGGAGACTTGATCAGCCCTGGCAAGCCTGGGGGCAAATTAAGCCCTGGATGGAGGGTCGGGGGAAGCAGTAGGGGCCAGTGGGGCTGGGGGAGGCAGCGGGGGGCTGGAGCCCGAAACCTCGTGGCCAGAGCCCAAAGCCCCATGGCGAGAGGATGGGGCCCAGGGACAGAGCTCAAAGCCATGTGGATTGGAGCCTGGGGCCTGCCGCTGCGCAGCCAGAACCTGGGGCTGGAACCTGAAGCCCTGTGGCCAGAGCCTGCTGCCCCACAACCCCAGAGCTGAAGCCCAAAGCCTGAGCCTCACCACTCCTGAGAAGGTGGGGAACTCACTGGCTGCCTGCTCCTCCAGCGTTGTGCCCCAGGGAACTCCGTACGGAGGCAGGGCCCAATCCGTACTGATGGCCCCAGCAACCAACACCAAGGCGGTGCATCCAGGAGCAACGGAGGGGGAAGGGGCATTACTCCCCTCCCCACCCTCCACCCCCCATCACAGCCCAGGAGGCTGTGGCCGCATTTGAAAAACGCTAGACTTCCTGATTTTTAGTCCAACTTCTGCTGCTAACTTAGTATTTAGCACTTTCCAAACATTTAATTAAGTCTCTTAGCACATCGGTACAGTAGGTAACAATATAAGTGTCCCACTTCACAGATGGGGAAACAGGCACAAAGAGTGGAAATTACTTTCCTAAAGTTTTGTGTTAGAACTAGGATTAGAAACCACATGTCCTGATTGCTGTGCCTGTGCATAATCTGCCACTATAACACTTCTCAAACAAGGCACCTAATTTCTGTCAGTTTCCTCATCTGTAAAATGGGCACAATACTGATACTTGTCTAATGGGTAGGACCTTTGCCAATATTCAACTTCTTGTCGGGGAAATTACAACCACTGAGATTAAGGGTGTCCAGAAGCAGATATAGATGGAAGCTGTTCAGTTTGACGATTTTATGATAACTGCATCTTTGATGGAATACCCCCATTTAACCCAAGTTGAGTTGGGACTGTAATTATTGTATGTTGGTGCAAACTGTTCTTGAATTAGAAATTTCTTTGGGCATAAATAGCAAAATTGCATGCTCTTAATAGTAGCTTCTCTGACAATTTCAAACAATGAACCTATTAGATCAAATTTCCTGTGTTTTAACTATAAGTAAAAGATTTTTCTAAACATCTGAAATTTTGGAGTTTGCAAGTGCAGATATGTAAAGACGGGACATGTAAAAGATCAAATAATTAACAATAGGGAACAGATGATTCCCAAAAGAATGGCTGAGTCATTATTTTAGTCCCTAGTTAATTTCTGTACCAATCTCTCTCAGAAATTTCTCCCACTTGTAATTAAACAAGTGCATGGAACAATATTCCCAAATTCCCCTCCAAGGCAAACCGCACAATATATCTAGTTTAGCACAGAGTAATTGCATACTAGAAGAAATCCTTCTGCTGCCACAAAGCTTAAGGGCCCAGAAGCCATGACACAACTTCTGGGAGAAAATGGTGAATTAGCTACATTTTCATGCTGTCCTGGCTAGTAAAGGCTCTGTGATCTAGTGATTACAGGACTAGAAGTCAGGATGGTACTGAGGTCTCATGTGACCAAAGATAGTAATTTGCTGGGCAAGCTACTTCACCACCTTACACACCACTCGTTCTACCTGCAAACTCGGGGCAAAGGCAGAAGATTACTCTTCTGAACTTTTTGGCAACCGTCTGCTTACCAGAGGACTTTCCAGGCTTATTTTCCTAAACATCTCCTGTGACAAGCAACTTTTCTATGTAGTAAAGCTGTCTTTTTAACACTGTACTTGATAACATTGGCAAGAGTTAGCATTAAAAAAAAAAAATTATCTTTAAAGAACATAGCAGCAAAATGGCTACGGATAGAATTGTTTATCAGGGATTCTTTGCCATTTCCCTCTCTGGATTTAAAGGGCCTGGCTATCCGTAGCATGCATTTTGTTAAAGAGGGAAACTTAGTGTGGTGGATTAATCTCCCTTAGCTGCAAATTTGCTCTTAAATATTTCATTAGCACTGATTGCTTATACAGGACTTTGATTCATCGGAATAGATAATAGTTTGAATAATTCTGTGCTTAACCACTATACATAAACACATGTAAGCTGCTACATCCTTGTGGTTACATAGGAAGATCTTTTTAAAATCAGCAGCATATTTAAAATATTTATGCCTAGATGAGAAATCACTTATTTGGTTATTACATGCAGACTGCGACAGCATTAGCGTCGTTACTGTGAGAATGTCTGTGAAGCTGAAAAACAAGGGTGTCAGAACACACTTTTCATTCAGCTGCAGCCTTTAGCAGATCCGAATGAAATATAAAACTGAACAAATGGGCTAAATGTAACCATACCTGCAGCAGATGTCCTCACTGTTTCACCAGGATTGTCACAATATGCTGTGATAACTGCACCCCCATGAACTGTTAAAACTGGCTTACAGAACATGTCCTGTTCCCTGCCTGTCTAAGCCTCACTGTGCAGTCTTTCCTGCTAAGACAAGGCCTATGTTTGCATGCTCCCCTTATCAGGGAAATTTTCTTGAGGACTGTGGTAATTCCAACCCATTGTTGGTATTAGGCCATTTAATATTTATATTACAGCAGTACTTGGAGGCCCAGACAAGGTCTCTGTACGAGGTGCTATACAAACCACAGTCATAGGTCCTGTCCCAAAAAGCTTACAATCCGTGCTAAAATTTCCTGTCCTCCTCAGGACAGTCTGCTTGTGTGCTACTGAAGACACTGTCAGGCAAGGGTAACGGTTAATTAAAATGTGTAGTCTTCAAAATCCCTGAAGCTGGACAGGCCTCTCCAAGGAGTAACTACTTATTTTGTTTTTCTAGATTATTGGCAAGAGAGCCTTTAAAACCCTCATAATTGTATGAGATCTGAAATCTCTAATTCAAAACAGTATGTGTTCATCTCTTCCCCCCCTCCCCAATCTGTATATGAACAAAAATAAAACCAGTTCACTCTTGTGCTGCAGTTCATGTCTGCTAATACCTGAAGTGGCCGGATGTTAGGCTCCCCAAGCAGGCCATGTAACTAAAATCTAGAGCAGCGCAGGACTTCTTTGCCTAGGGAAAATGTCAATTTGTTGAAAAGGAAACTTTTAATGGAAATATCAGTTTTGACAAAATCTTTGGGAAGAGGGAGCAAGAGACATCCCCTGCCAGAACTTCCCTCAGCCTGATGGTTAGGGCACTCACCTGGGACATAGGAGACCCTGCTCCAAACCAGGCAGAGTCAGGGCGTGAACCCATCTCCCCCACATACCAGGCAAGTGCCCTCACCACTGGGATACTGGCTATTCCAGGGTGGCGCTCTCTCTCTCTCTCTCTCTCTCACACTCACACTCACACTCACACTCACACACATCCATTTTTTTCATGAAAAATTTCAAATGATCTAGATTTTTGTTCCAATGCACAATGAAAACGTTGAAACCTCAGAATTTTTTGTGATACGGAATTCTTGTTTTCCGGCTAACCTTACTGAACTCTCAGCAACCCCTTTACTAGCACTGTTGATACATGCAAGTTGTAGTCTTGAAAGTGGAAAGATGGCTTAGCACTAATTCTCCTCAACTAATCATGGAGTCCAAATGAATCTAGCCATGAAGGTCTGAATTTATCTATCCACAGTGTTCTGTCTGCCTGTCCAGTTTAATAGAATGTGCATGGAGAAAGCTAATTGCTGAGAGAAATTGCTGCTTGTTCGCATGATTGATCAAGAGTGTAGCAAGTTCATTTCAGGCAGTCTCAGACAGATTTTTCTTCAGACTGTGCCTTTAGGGGAAGAAGATTATAACACATTATCATTCCCTAAAAGTTCTTTTATTTTGTGTATCCTTCAGAACCCTTGTGCTCTCTGAAAGAGTTATATTAAACTACTTAATCAGTCTTTATGTGAGATGCATTCACTAGTTTTGTAGACAATCAACTAAATTAGTATCATGTTTCAATAACTGTATCTTCTCCTCTGATCATACGCCAATTCAGACTTTTATTATTTGTATTACAGTAGCACCTAAGGGCCCCAGTTGAGATTGGGAGCCCATTGTTTGTGCCCTGCAGAGTTTACAGTCTAAACAGACAAAGCAGACAAAAGGCGGGAGGGGAAATGGGCACAGGGGGGTGAAGTGACTTGCCCAAGGTCACACAGAAGTCCAGTGCCAAAGCTGGGAATAGAACCCAGGTCTTCTGAGTCTCAGTCCGTTGTCCTATCTCCTGACCAAAAATGTACATACATAAGGTAGACATTCATCTTTCTTTGCATTTAATGAAAGTGGTTGGTTTGGGGGAATAACATCATGCAAGGGAAGTGAACAACAGGTGTTTTCTTTTCCTTTCATTGCAGTGACACTTCTTTGAGATGGATCTTATTCTGAAAGGGTGTGGGGAGGTCATTTTAGCATATTATTTTGTTTCCCCTTTTAGAGGTGAGGCACTGAGTCAGAGCTATAAATCCAGATCCCTGTCGTATATTATAATAGGAATGAAATACAGGCACTGAGATATAACCAGGAGATGATTAGGAAAGGGTGTCTCAATATTGCAAACATAAGTTTGCTTTGAATTGGGTAAACTAGTAGCTTTTGGAAATAGACATTTTCAGCATTAGTACCTGGTTTGCTTTTTATTACCTAAAACTAAATGGTTAAACAGGGACTATAAGAAGTTAAGTTCGAAAATTTGCAACTGCATCTTTTATTTGGACAGCACCGTAAATGTGCCTGGCATAACACACACAAGGCAAAATACATGATCCCTGCCCTCTAGAGCTGACAAACATGTTGAGGCACTAATAATTACATCGAGGCTTCACCATTGCTGCTACATTTTCCTTCCCTTACTGTTTAAGCACTTAATTCAACTGCCAACGAGTCACTGCAGAGAGTATGAGGAGTCATGTCAAAGGTCAGATATTTGAGACCATTTTCCCACAGCAGCCCTGTGCGAGTGATCCTTTACCGTGTTAAAAAAAAAAAATAGAAGGGATTAAAAAGGATTAGCAAGAATATTACCCTCCAGAGTGCAGGCCCAAGGCACTAAGAGAAGAACCCAGCCAGGCAGTAAATGTGCTTTATTTGGCCAGAGCACAACCTCTGCTACATTCCTTCAAGAATCTGAATGGGAAAAGTTAAGTCCCCAAACTGGATTAGTAAATAATCTCATAGTTTGTGGCATCTGCTGAAATAAATCGGTGAGTTGACTGCATTCTTATACTTTGGGAGGGAGTTAAAGGAATTACCAGCTACACTGATCAAAGATGAGGATTAACTTTGGCCATTATTGAGTGGGACACTATATACTACGAAAGGACAACTCATAAGCATATACTAGAAAATTGGAACATTCATTTTAAACTTGTAAAATTATTTAACATTTCTTAAAAACAAAGTTGAGAATTAAAACAAATTGGCTTATCTTCCTCTGCTGCATTTTAAAAAATAAAAATAAACTGAACATCCTGTAAGGTTTTAGAAAAATGTAAAATGTTTGTTTAGAAATTCTGCAATTTTCATAGTGCATATGCTCAGTTTTATGCTCGCTGCCTCCCGTTCTGAGCATCTAAAATTGGGAGTTCACTGCCTGGAAACAAGTCAGCGTGTTCTGCCTGTGTATCAGTGCACCATCACTTCTGCCTTCTCCCATCACCTTGTAACCGCAGCTATAGTTGTGCCAGCACAACATAGCTGTGAATTAAGGATGGGATTTTCAAAAAAGTGCTCAGCATTGGTTTAACAGCTCCCATTGAAGTCAGTGGAATCGGAGTTAGATCCGTGCTTGGTGCTTCTGAAAATACTGTTCTAAACTTTACAATCAAGGATATACCTGATAGCCTGGCAGTTAGCACCAGTTTCTAATTTGTACCTGACACTTGGGAACTAACAGATATTAAACCCTTTAGATTGAAAGTTTTCAGAGGCGAAGGTATCAAGGTGCAAATGAACCTAGACGTGCAGCAAGCACTTCAGTGTCATATCATTAGCATTGCTTCACATGGAGCTCTTAACAGCGTTAAAGGATGACTTCTAGGATACCGGTGCATGAAACACTTGCGCTTAATCAGTCCACTTTCCTTTGGCCTTCATGGAGCACTACCTGATGCAGCATAAAATCTGTGTATATGTGTGTGCGTTTCCCCAGATAAATTACCTTGTGTGTTATGATCCAGGAACTACACTCCAGCCATAGAAGTGTTTTATATCTCCTCACTGAAGTAAAATGCAGATCCGTTTTGATAGCATATATACTTTTTAACATTCTGAGTGTAACATTCTGCTGAGTTTAGCAGCCCAAGATCCCAATTTTTCTGTGTAAATAAGATCTGGCAAGAATTTATCAGGACTGGGCCCTAAATTGCAATACCTCCTTAATGCATGAAAGACCTCCATATGCTATGCTCTGGTCATTTTGAAAACATCAGGGAAATCCTTTGGCAGTAACAAGGATTTGGGCATGGCCCCATAACTAAGCATGCTTTCTCTTTCCATTTTCTACTTCTAGTACTTACTAGAAATGAAAAGCTTAATTCTACCTCCAGAGCATATTCTGAAACGAGGGGACAGTGAGGCAGTAGCATATGCTTTCTTCCATCTTCAGCATTGGAAGCGGATAGAAGGGGCCCTTAACCTGCTGCACTGTACATGGGAGGGCAGTAAGTATCTTTTTATTCCAGTGCAGCTAGCTAATCTCTCTACCTTTTTATTCAAATCATTCATAATAGGCCTACTTTAACCAGTGTCTGAACTTCGTTAAGGCAGCCTTGTTCAGTTCAGTTTCAAAGGGAACTCAGTGCTGTTGTTTGGCTTTTTGCTGGAGATGCTTACTTGATGCCACATTACAGGAAGGCAAAGGGATTTACCCAGGGGGATGTAGACAACTACAATCAATAGATACAACTATTTGTATTCATCAGCAGGGCTCCAACGATAGCGGTTCACTGCCATATACAGAACTAACACTTTCTGTGGCCTCCACCACTTGTTTCCTCCCCCCACAAAAGCTCCCCAGTGTGTCTGTGTCACTGGGCAATGGGAGCCAGTGCCACCAAGCAGCCAGGGTATAAAAAGCCCCACTGAGGCTGCAGACACCCTTACCTAGAGAGGGACCTAGGGCTGAGAACAGCCAGCCCCTGACCTGGGATGGGGTTGGCGGGGAGTAGGTCCTGAACAGTCACCTAGGAAGAGGTCTGTGTTTGCTTAGCAGCTAGCCAGCAACAGCTCCCGTGCTTCTGCTGGCTGAATCAAGAAGCCAGGAGTGACCCTGGCAGGTCAGGATGAGGAGCAGCAGCAGCCCCAACAAGAGCAGAGCAGAAGAGACCAATCCACCCCAGATCAAGACCCAGTTGGATTTGTTAATTGTTTGTTTTTCTTTCACTGTTTGATTAAAATGTGTTTATCTTAATATCTGTTAAGTCTCTGTTTGGAGCTAGACCGTACCGGAGACTGAAGTATCCTCTTTCTTCTCCCCAGAACTGGGGTACAGCACAAGCAGCAGCAGTGCAACTTGGCACACACACACACACCTGCCATCATGCCTTAACATGCAGTTGGCCACCTTGTGGGCATTGTCAGCAGGGAGAAATGGAATGTTCCTTGGAGACTGAGCTTCCTTCTTACTCCTGGAGGGGCTTGCTCCACAATGGAAACACCTTGGTAGGGGGGTACAAGGGGCATGTGCTGCTGCTTATACTGGAACAGATCTGTAGAATAATAGGGCTCTTCCGTCTCTAATGTTGCTGTCAATCTTCTCTCTCATCTGTATTTGTACAGCACCCAGCACAAGGGGGCCCCAGTCCTAATAGTAGAATTTATACTGTGGTAGGACCCCATCCAGACTGGGGCCTTTGAGTGCCAGCATGGTATGAATTCTTACTAGAGATATGACACCTTTCTCCAAATTCACTTCTAAAAGAAAATACAAAATACAAGATGCAGCTATTTCCAGTCTATTTCTAAATTTGCTTTCTTCGTGACTGAGATGCTCTTTGTGGTGGAATTTAGGGGGGTTGCTTTGTACATAGGTCTAGCATAAGTCTGACTGACTGTCTTGTCCTCAGCATTTAGAATGATCCCGTATCCGTTAGAGAAGGGCCATCTTTTCTATCCCTATCCTAGTTGCACAGAGACAGCAGACAGAGAGCTATTGCCAAGTAAGTGGTTATTTTGTTTCTAATTAATAACTAGAATAAAATATATGTAATAAAATTCCAGTGTGTACTGTACTGTATTGCTGTGTATTTACTCTCTTGTGTCCTTAGCTCATGAACTGCTTGTGACATGGATTCTGCTGTTTGTCTGGTGTATTTGGCCAGATGGAATGCACTGTGCAAATGCAACAGCAGTATAGGTTGTAACTTTGCATCCCAAAGGATCCCAAGGCACTTCACAAATGCATGTGTGTGGGGTGGGAGGGTATAGAAATATATAATATTACATACTTTCCCACTGAAATGCAGCCACCATTTGGATGAAGTAAACTGTGTAACTGAATAGCGGCACTGCCCAACAGTTTAGTGGGGAGAGTGAGAAACGCCATACCAATTGCAACAGCAAGGGGAATTTAAGCAGATGGACTATAATAACTCTTGGCATCCGTACCAAATTCCAGTTTAGTGTACACCTAGACTGAGTGCCATGGGATCTTTAATGACCACTGGCTATCAGAAATTAAGTTTTCAATCTCACTTGGATGGAGTCCCCACCAATGGCAAAGCGCACCTCTCTGCTGTCACCTTAGAGCAGGACCAAATGCTAGCAGAGGGTGCCACCAAGAGGTACTGAGTTGCCAGTGAGTGTTACCCTATGTCATGAGGATTTTGTAATAACATCGTGTCTGGCGGAAAGAGGCTTCCATACCTGGTGCTTCCACATTCTGTTTCTCAACTTGGAGGGCAAGAAAACTTGGCTAGTCCTCTGTGATCACTTCTTCTTCTTCTTTTTTTTTTTTTTTTTTAAAAAGTAGTGGGTTCCCTGACTGTTGTAGTGGAGCTGCTTCCTTCGTCATTTTCTGCAAGTAGCAGGTAGATAGATAATCATTCCATACTCTTGCATTAGAGTACCCAGCAGAACCTTTATATTTATCATCCTTGGTTAACCTGTAGTTTGAGAGAACACTTTATTGTTCCATAATTTGATTTGATTGATTGTACATTCCATGGAATATTTATGATCATACATTGCTGTACATTAGCAATGAGACCTAAGATTTGACACTGAAGAATGAGTCTTCTCCCCTACTTCGTTATCCAGGTATTAGCCCACATATATTCTGTCTGTAAAGCAACCTGAAAATAAACCACTAGGACCCTCACTCACTCTGTCGCTCATTCACTTAGATGATAATGGGGCTCTTGTTTCATCTTACCTGCTGGTGGGATTCTAAATGTGGGCTTCAACAACTCTGGAAATCTCAGCTTCTTCATGGAATTGCAGGGGCTACTGCTAAAGTGTCACAGGGATACAGCTGCAGAAGAGCAAACTTACACACGTGTGTTTCTGTTACAAAAAGTGAAAAGTTAAATTTAAAATGTGTAATTGAAGTCTGCCCCCAGACTGCTTTAAATTATTCATTTCTCACTTATGCAGGATATTGCACAAGGAATTCCTTGGTTAGTGACTAACTCTAAGCTGTAGGCTTTCCAGCATAATTAAACACCAGCACATGCATGTATTTCAACACAATCATTCACGCATTCCTGCTACGTTTTAAATATAAGGCTATTCATAAAATAAAGCCATCTTAACATTTTTTATTGTGCAGCTTTCTCAAGAAGTCTTGGAATTTTAAAAAAATCAATTCTTTTAATATATTTGAAAATAGAAAGTAAACCAAATTGAGGCTTAAATTGATAAACTTCAAATAGAAAGCTAATTGTTCTAATTGGTAAGGATGCACAAAGAGAGAGCTCTGACCATGCAGAAATCTGTTTAGCTCTCTTTACATACTTTGGGCCTGATCCTGCATTCCTTGTGTAGTGGCAGTTCTGGGAGCATAAGGAATTCTTGTATATTTTTGTTTGTTGCTGTCCCCAATTTTTCCTGGCTTTCCTACTCTTGTGTTCAGGTTGCTTGCTAGTTTTCTACTATTTGTTCCTCTCTCTAGTTCCTGTTTAAAAAGCACCCCCCTCCAACCCATATATGTCCTTAATATATGGTTTCACACCATTCTGTGAGCTGACCATGTCCCAGTTCAGTTTTTATGAGGGTGGCTGATGGAAGATGGAGTCTATTGCATGTCAAGCTTCATCACGGGCAGGCCACTGCTTTGTTTGCCGAGTAGAAGAACAGTATGGGTATCCTACTAGTCTGCTGAGTAGCAGGGATGACTAGATGTCAAGGAGGTGAAATGAGAGAGAATCTTGAGGGGAGCACCCTTAAGCATGTTTGATTAGGACTTATTTTCTTTTCCTTTGGCGTCTGGCCTCACAGAAAGCCTTAGCATTCCACACCATTGTACTTCAGAATCTCAGCTTTCATTCAACAATTTTTTTTCTAGCCTTCATGGGTTACAAAGGAATGGTTGCATCGCAGATCGGGTCACATTTGCAGTTATCACTTCCTGAATTTGAAGGCAACCTGAAACTTGGTGACATCTTGATTTAACTCTGTCATCTTTAAATTTCCTTCTGCAGCCTACTGAAAGCTGAAAACGTGCACAACCCAAAAGTGAATAAAAATAAAAAAATAAAAAACACTGGCTATTGCACCGACTATACCTATTTTCCATATTTAATTAAATCAAAAGTTACTTTTTGCTGGGTCTGCTCCAGAATTAAGTCTAGTTTACTGAAGAATATACAGGACTTTTCATACTTAATTGCATGTACAGACCCTGCCTGTTCCTTTTATTTAAAAACATTGCAAAATTGTTGGATAAAAAATCTAGAATTGTCACAGTCCCTAGATGGTGACCACTTCCAATGTCTTGAGCTGTCGAAGCTCCATATTCCACTCCCAAGAGCTGTCTAGTGAAATTATTTTGATTTCTTTGCCCTAAAGTGTAACTAATGGTTGTGTACAAAATTTGTAACCCCATCTTGATGCTGCTTTCTTTGAGATCTGCTTTGTCAATTGCTGTGAAATTTACTGTAGTCTGCCAGCTTGCAGTCTTTGGGAAGTTTTAACAGAATCTGACCATGTATATTATCTGATTGCTTTCAGAGTTATTTTACTTTTTAGACATGGGAATTCTTAAGATAGAAAAACATTACATAAAAAGTAGGAAAAAATAGGATGCTTGCTTTTTAAAACATTGGCATACACTAAAATAACAGAATTTAGCATTTGTAACTGTTACAAATTCCTTGATTATTTAAATTGGGCCAAGTGTTTTCATTGGAACCTTTGTCTTGATGACATCTTGTGAATTTTATGTTACTTTCTTCTCTTCTGTCGCAACAGTTGATTCCAAAAATTAACCCTGCAATGTTCTTAAAAATAAAGGAGGGGAAAAAAGTGGTGGGGGAAGGATAGCTTTAGTGACACCAATAAATACTAAAGAGCAAAAACACGTAGTATATGAGAAAATATATCAGGACTAAGCCACTTAAATCTGCTTTGAGCAAATGTCAGGGATTTAGTCTTGTGTTGCACTTAAGCTTCGGGTCCATGTATATGTCCTTTGAAACTATAAATCTGAATGTAAAACACTGGCTGCTCTGCAATAATAGTTCTCTTTGACATATTTGCATAATGTAAACTGGTGTGTAATTATGACCTTTTGTAAAACAATCAATGAATATTAAAATGTCAAATAACTTTTCAATATTTCCCTTTCAGCGTTTCACGATGTCTCCGTTTACCCACAGAAGGAGCTTCCTTTCTTCATCCACTTCACAGCAGGGTTGTGTTCCTTTTCGGCAATGCTTGCCGTTCTCACACACCAATTCCCTGAACTCATGGTCATTTTTGCTAAAGCTGTAAGTATTGTCTCCAGTCCAGGACTTGCTTAGAGTGTTTGTGAGATATTCAGAAGCTGAGGGCCCTGTCTGTGCAGATGTTTTGAGATGGAGTTAAAATGCATTGTCATGTGCTTCTGAAGTTCCTTGTCATGCAACTATTAAACTTGATTCTTCACTTGGACTCAGAGTTCCTCATTTTGTAAAGAGTAATATTTTTATATTATAAAGCTGGTTTCTGCATATCAATCTTAGTAGATAATCAGTCCTGATTGCCAACTTAGGAACAACCCAGCCCTCTCTTTCTCCCTTGGCTGGAAAGGCTGTGGAAGAGAATTTGGTTTGCGGATTAGACCTGTGTGTCACAGACATAGCTTCTGATTTTTAGTTTAAATTGAATTATTGGAAGCAAAAGCTTCTGAATTTCGAGTTAAGGGCTCTTCAGTAACTAATAGGTTAAAGCCAAAGCCATGGGAACGTTTAGATTGTAAGCTCTGTGAGGCAAGGACTCTGTTTATAGCTACATCTTGTACCATGCCGAGGGCATTGTCTGTGCTTAACAAATACAATTTTGCACACACCTTCTCAAGCTGTTTAACCTCCTCCTCCTACCCCATTGCTGCTTGATGCTACTGCTTTTCATTCTGCAAAATGCTGGATAGTGACCATCCAAAGATGCTTCAGTAGTGACATTAAGGGCTGAAAAACATCTGCAAAACACTTTCATTGCATCAGATAAAGTTGGAAAGCAAATAAGTGAATCCCCAGAACAGGGCCGGCTTTAGTAAGTGCGGGGCCCGATTCGACTACCCGGCGGCGGTCCGGGTCTTCGGTGGCACTTCGGCGGCGGGTCCTTCACTCACTCCGGGTCTTCGGCGGCACTGAAGGACCCGCCACCGAAATGCCGCCGAAGACCCGGAGCGAGTGAAGGACCCGCCGCCGAACCGCCACCGGGTGAGTAAAAATTAAAAAGGCGCCTAAGTTAGGCGCTCTTCTTTAGGGCGCGGGGCCCAATTCGGGGGAATCGGCCTAAAGCCGGCCCTGCACCAGAAAACCTGCTAATAAAATAGCCCTTTTTTCACATGCATCTCACTTCTTTCTTGTGCCTCTTCCCTCTTCTTTGCCTTTAAAGATCTGGGAAGCCAAACTGCACATGAAAGGTGTTAATTATGTTACTTAGTGTGCTTCTGGAAAGTGCTCAGATACTATGGTGATGAGCATGGTATAAAACCTATCTAGAATAGAGGGAGAGTGGTCTAGTTAGGGTGACCAGACAGCAAGTGTGAAAAATCGGGGTGGGAGGTAATAGGAGCCTATATAAGCAAAAGCCCCAAATATCAGGACTGTCCCTATAAAATCGGGACATCTGGTCACCCTAGGTCTAGTGGACAGGGCAGTGGCCTGGGACTCAGGAGACCTGGCTTCTGTTCCAGCTCTTCTACTGATCATCTGGGTGACTGTGGGCAAGTCCCTTTATCTCACTGTGCCTCTGTTTTCCCTGCTGCTGTTTTTGTCAGTTTAGACTGGAAGGTCTTCAGGGTGGGGCTGTGTCTTACTATGTGTTTGTACCATGCTCAGTGTGGAGGCGCCCCAGTTTCAATTGGGACCTGTAGGCAGTACTCTTTTATAAACGAGCAGGCAGTATTAAAGTCGCTCGGTAGTTAGTGGAGCTGGTCTCCCTGGAGCACCTCTTCATCAATTGCATTGTGTTAAGCCACTGCTACTGTGAGCCTGGGAGGCAGAGTCTACATCCAGCCAGAGCAGCGTTGTCTTCCTGCTCAGAGAGAGTTCTTTCTAAACGTGCAACAGACAGTACAAGGGGATTTGACAGAAATACCCAATGGAGTATTACACTGTGCTATGACTTTCCTGATGGCCATGCAGTCAGTCCCTAGTGGGAGGGCTGGGAAACACCCCATAGCACTGTGCACCTCTTGGCTAATGTGGAAGGGTCACTGCTAGGCTCCATGGGGAGCTGCACAGGGTGGAGTGAAATGGGAGTCCCCTACATAGATAACTTCCATACAGGCTTCTACTAGCCCCCCATGGAGAAATTAGCCATGAGCTGGGATTTGCATTTGTATGGTGCCCGCAGCAGCCACTCGGATAGTTTGAAAAGAGCCTGTAAGGTATGTATGGTAGACTGGGGGGCGGGAGGGTTGGAGAACAAAACCAATGTTCTCAGAGTCCTTTGAGACCAATGGAAAAGCTTCTTGGGCATGCACAGTGATGAGTCTAAATGCAGCAGTTTCATTTCCATAGTGGGAATGGCAATACAGCAGTTTCTAAGACGTTGGAGTGCAAAAGGCACCTTATACATTCAGAGCTTCTTTTGTTAAACTCTTGTGACTTAAAACACGCACATTGATTTTTCAAATTGTGTTAAGCAAAAACAATCGGAACTTTGCAAACTGTTCAGTTAGGACCTTTCATACTAAATTTAAGGCAGAGATTTTTTAAACAGTTGAGTTGTTAATGCATGAAATTAGGAGGGTTCTAATGGAAATTCTCCTATATAGAGCAGTGCAATTGCTGTCATAAAGCTAATGGTAAGTTGCTGAGCCAGGTATCCCAGTACATTCAAACGTTAGTAAGTCAGCTACTACAATAAATTGACTTCTTCTTTCATGCTAAGCTTTGTTTGTTTTGTTACCTCATTTCCTTCCCTTACCCTATTTGTCTCATCCACTTGTTGCATTTCATCTGACACTTAAATTGTGTAAGCTCTTTGCAACAGGGACTGTTGTCTTTGCTTCTTGATTGCAATACGTGTACTACAGTGGGGCACTGACCATTGATTGATTAGGTTTCCTAGGTGTTATATAATAGAAATCAATGAGATAAAGCCTATAAATAGGTTCCTATGTAGTTATCTTTCTGTTGATTTAAAAGTTATTTTAACACTTTTTCTGTGAACTTTGTTACTACATGGCCTGAGTGCTAAGATACTGTGATGATACGTGGATAGATGTTAACCAAAGCTATGTAAACTTGGCACTTACACAGTTGCTGTCTTCTAACATGTTGTTCATATTGCAGTGTAATGCAAAACTTTTGGCTTGCATTGGTGAAAGTGAAGTTCTAAACCCTTTCTCAGGAAGAGGCACTGGTCATGAGTCACCTTGTTCTGCTTTGTAAGGAACTAATTTGTGAAAAATGGTTTTTGAAGTTGGGGTAAAACCAATAGTTAACTTGGACAAAGAAGTGGAGTGATTAAAACATACTGTGGTATTCACTTGTTCTCTTATTGGGGCAGTGGAGCATTTCAGCCCCAGGGAAACTTCCCCACCAAGCACTGCATTGAAGATAGATTTTATTTTCATAAAATTTTACAGTGTGTGAGCTGCAAAAAATAAATTGGAAACTGGAAACTCTGAAAAGTGAGAGTGAAAAGGCAGATTGGAAGCCAGAGCAAAAGAGTCTCAGAATGGGACTGACAAGGACAGAGGTGAATTACTTGTTTGCTTCCAAGCCAGCTGTTAATTAACCGCCATTTGCATTTTAGAAACTAAAGTAATTGGATATAAAACATTCTGGTTCCAGTTACTAGGTGGGAAGTTGAATGAACCTTACAATATGGTTAACTCATTCTGTTTCAAGGAAGCACCATGTTCTGCTAGTATGAGCTTCAGGATGGAAGTTGGATGTAGGCTTTGATCCTGATTTACTGTGCTCAGTCCCCTTACTCGTGAAATGGGGATCTTTGCCTATCTTCTGTAAAGTATTGTGAGGCACTTAGAAATGTGCTACATAGAGATAGAGTATCTTGCATGTCTCAGGGAGAACTGATTCTTCCCACCCACGCCTTTTGTTTCTCTTCATGGTTTCTCTCCCCCTGCCAGCCCCATATAAGGTTGCACATAGTGGTAACCTTCCTTCCGGCTCTCAAAAATTGGTTATGCGCTCTAGAAAAGAGGGAAAGCTACAGTCATACAAGCTGCTTGCCACCCTGCTTATCCCTCAAATAAAAATAATCAGAAAACCAAAACCACATTGCAATGTGCTTGCCCTCATGTCTTTCATGTGGTAGCCTGGAGCACTAACCACAGAGCCACTGAACACACATTCAATCATTGTTCTGGAACTAAAAAAACCTTTAATAACTTGAGAATGAGAGCGCGTCAGGCTTTCTGCTGTTGAGCAGGTCAGGTACTGAGACAGATGGAACAAAAATGCTAACTTATTTTAAAGTGCAAAGTTCTCATGAAATCCTTGTTTTGCTGACATTTCTGCTTGGTGGTGTCCAAGCCACACAGGTCTGAGAGCGGGGCCCCATTTCCACACTGTTCTGTTAATCTTTATGTGGGAAAATGTAGTTGGACATGCCAATGACAAATTTCTCTGCTGCTCGTAATTGGCTGGCTTCATGGCAACCAGGGTCTAACTATTTGCTTGATTAATTCTTTAAGGACTACATTAGCAAAGTTGTATGATTTCCAAAGAGATACAAGGTCAAATGTTATACTAACAAAGACTCGCTTGGGGAAGTTCTCTCGGCCGAGTTTCTAAAACCAAAAAAATGTAATTTGTGTGCGTTACGTTCACTTTGCATACCAGGCAATTTGCATGTCAAGTGGAATGTTGGTGAATGTGGGCAAAAGCACTAGCCTGGGTTGTTCATTGGGCAGTGCTTTAAATTGCACTTATTTTCCACGGGAAGGGATGGTTTTCTAGTCCCTGTTCAATTAAAAAGATGGATGAGAAGTGTGCGTGCCTCTGTGCCTCTCCCAGCAGGATCCCAAGGGATAGCCTCCACAGAAAGTACAGAAATGGTTGTACTGACTTGCATTGTCCCTGGATGTGTTCTTTTCCCTGACTGGGTGCAATAATAGTTCTTAAAGTGCCATTCAGAACAGGTGCTTCATATTGACACTCTTTAAAAAAAATTAATTCAACTAGTTATCCATATCCAGTATGTAGAAAAACTTTCTTTTGAGGTAGAATGCCTAGTGGTTAGAGCGTAAACTGGGAGTCTGAAAACCTGCCTTCGAATCCTGACTCTGCCACAGCTTTGCTCTTTGACCCTAGGAAAGTCCCTTCAGCACGGTCTCATTTTCCCAATCAGTAAAGTGGGGTTCTGAGACTTTAAGAACGTATGTAATTAATAATAAACTCTTACTGTTTTCTGTGATTTTTCTTGCATCGAAATGTAAAGAAAATGCTAATTTTGATTCACTCCAATGTTCTAGCTCAGTGTTTCTCAAACTGGGGTCGCCGCTTTTGTAGGGAAAGCCCCTGGCGGGTCAGGCCGGTTTGTTTACCTGCCCCGTCCGCAGGTCCGGCCGATCGCGGCTCCCACTGGCCGCGGTTCGCTGCTCCAGGCCAATGGGAGCTGCTGGAAGCAG